GTGTGTGGGGGCGTCTGTGTGTATGTTTGTGTATTTCTGTGTGTTGTGCCTGTTTGAAAAATACTGGAAGGCAGATTGGAACCCGAGATAGGAAAAGATAGGGAAAATAAGTCAGTTGCACTCCTTGCTTTCCAAAATATTCACTGAAATGCAGATAGGCATATTTTCGATGATTTCTAGGTTCCACTGGTCTTGAGCACAGGTAAGAGAGAATAATGTGTCACAGTCTTGTAGAACAAGTGCAAATTTTGCCTCGGGCTTCGTCTGTAATACACCTCTGCTGAGTTGGAAAAGAAGTATTGGGCTAAATTGGGCTAATCCTGGCTCAAAGGGATGCCTAAAGTTCACAAAGTGTGGGCCCTGCTTAACAAAGAAGCAGGTTAATTAAGACTCACAGTGACTCACTCTACCCCTTTTCCTGCTCTAACAATCCACTGGCGTGGCTTTAGGTAACAGCAGAGAGAAATGAAGATGAACGAGTAGCCCACAGGGAGACAACACTCGTTCCTTTTTGATAAATAAAGCATTTTAATAGTGTGAATATATATTGAGGATGAATTTACAGCCTTTCAAATAGTCATGATTGCTGTGTAACACAGACTTCTCAGCGTTTCATACCATTCATATTACATTTTGTTCAAATGTAGGATTCTCATTAAGTGAAGTGTGAAAAAAGGTGCTAGCTGTTGGACCCAAAAGGGCTAATTATCAGCTCTAATGTCTAATGTGAGTCACTGGTATCTCCAGCAACCATCATGCAATATCACACATTCAAAGGTGATAAGGGGGAAACTAAAAACTACAAAGCTAGTTGTTAAAGAAGCACACACCTCCAGCACCTTCTTGTTTTAGAAATGTAAAGCTTACCATGTTGTTTCTATATACAAATGTAAAGCAGCAGTGTGGCAACTTGGCAAGATATTCATCGTCCATGATGAATATTTCCATTTTGATAATTATTCCTTTGAAATATCCATACTTTTAAATGCCTACCCAGCCTCAATAACAAAATTGTGACATACACCCGAGAGTTGTTTACCTTGCCAAGACCCTGAGGAAAATTCCCAGTGTCCCCACTTTAATTACAATATTACCCAAACAGGTGCAAGCAGTATGGAAGCAATTGTAAGGTCCTCTGTTGAGCACAGGGATACAGCACCCTATCAGGCAGACAGCTCATACTGCTTGTTTAAATCTAGTATAAAAACATTTTGGGTGTGTTAGGTGGTAAATTTGCAGTAGTTAGGGCTTTTTCTTGTTAAATAAATTAGTTTTTCTTATCAGAAATAGGAGGAGGATTGGCTCAGGTGTCTTTTTATTATCTAGGTGTTGGTGGGCTTTCACCACTTACAGTAAAATATGGGCCTTTTTTAACTTTAACATTTCAAACATTTAATTAGTGTTTGGTATAATTCTAAAGAGTGTTGACAAAGGACCGCGGAGGACAGGAGTCTGTCTATATAAGCCTCACACGGGCCTGTCATCTTTCTCTCCGCTCGGGATCCAACGGTACTCCATCTGCACAGAGGCATTGGAACAGTTGGCAGCAAAAAGCACTGTCCATGGTTCTGAATTTCATTGGTTCTAGACACACAGAGTACATGACAACTGCTGGTTACTACTGTGGTTAAGGGTTTCGGATGTCTAAGTCTATTCCTGTCATTTTCGGTTTTTATTTTTTTAGGGGGGGAACAAGCATTTTAGAAAAAGGATTTATTTTGAATTTGCTGTGAGGCAATGGATATTTTTTGCCTTCAACTGTGTCTAGAGGCATTATGTCTGTTATAATATATTATAGCCCGGAAACGGCATTTCAGGAATTCTGTTCCAAAGTGGGTTAATCTAAAGCAATTACAGGGCTGAAGAATTCTCTACAGAGTCTTGGGAGAAGATCAAAATGCTTCTTGTACTGATAGCAGTACAAGCTCCTAGTGTAGGAAACAACATATATTCAACAACACATAGTTGGCACATGCTTAGATAATGCTGTGATCAAATTAGGACAACTGAAACATCTGTGTGGGTTTTGGCACCTCCAACAAGCGATTCTTGAATAGACAATATTAAAATATTCTGGTATTGTTCTCAAGGAAAACCTTTATACGTGCAGACGTTTCAATAAAATGAAAATATTATCTGGTGAATAAATTAAATATATTCTACTGGACAAATCAATTATTGTGTATAATATACATTATCTAGAGTTAAAAAGGTGCAGCTAACAAGGTTACATAGTGCATCTAAATAGATATTAGGACAGGTATTCCCCCACGCAATAAAGTATGTCTAATACTTGTCTCTATTATTAGTCAATGCATATTTGGGGTGAATTAATAAATAATTAATTAATATCTATATACAGCCCTAACCTACCACTACCTACCAAATCTACCGCTTTTACACATGCATACGTTTGCAAATATATTTATTTCAATGAGGGCTGTCTATGTGGGCCATAGGTATATGACATAATGCATTCTCTAGTCCCTAATCTTAACCTGAGCCTTCAATGACTAAATTTTTCTCCCCCAACCCTTACCCTGAACCTAATCTAACCTAAAGCCAAACAACAAGTCCTTTAAAAAAGTTAGAAAAAGGCAAAATATCCTCATGTTTTAAACATGTTCTTAATGTCTAAAACTCAACATAGTGCTTAAGCACAAGACCAACACACACAGTTTCCAGATCTGACTTCTGTTGTTTCTTGAACACGGACTCAGATTACACTCAACAACAGTTTGGTGTTCATAAGTTAAATGCCTTTATTGAAGCCTGAGGGAGTTAGAGAAAAAGAATGATAATGCTGCAGATAGTTACACAGCTAAGCTTTGTGGTACTATCCTTTAAAGAAAAAAACTACATATTCCGTGTGCTCGTACTCTGTAAACATGCAAGCTGTCATTTTTCAGACATAATATCAAGAAGTTTTGTACAAACCTAGACACCTGAACACATTCCCAATGAGAAGCCATTGTTGAGTGTTGCACAGTTAATTAAAGCAAGGGCACCACTCTACATCTGTCACATCACTTGGCAGTTACTTTAATTATATATTTTGGTCAATCTGTTCTTCCTGATGTGAGAGGGGATGCCATACATGAGACAACATCTGCTGAGGTATGTCACATGAGCTTCAACATCTGTCCATGTTTTTACACAGCCTGTCAATCACTTGAGTCATGTCTCAAACGCATTTATGTTATCATACTGAGAAACCACAAACACTGTCAAGAGCTGAGAGCTTACATCTGTGCCACAGTTACAATTAACACTATTTTACTAAGCAGCAAATCTACACACAAACGCAGAGATTGGCACTACACACAAATACCCAGACACACCCCGTGGCTCGCAGTCATTTTGGTCCCTTATGTTGTCCATCAAGGAGACAGTGGTGACTGTTGTCTAAACTGACTCCACCCACAAAGGCTTGTGATCACCTAAGCTGTCAGCTAGCATCTGCTGAAACTACCAACCAGCCAACTGTGATACTGGCTCTGAAGAAATCTCCACAGAAAATGTGTCACCTACACATGTTAAGAACTCAGTGGCATATTTCCCACTTCTTTTTTTGCTAATTTTTATGTGGCAAACTTTATCTGCAAAGCCTAGAGAGAACGTCAACCTGTTTTGTATGTATGACACAGGGATTTGATGTATGGAAGTGTCTTGAAAGCTGATGTCAACTCGTCTCGGATGAAAATAAGTTGTACACATCAATGTCAAATATTTTCAATAAAAAAATGCTGGACATGAATTGAATATGTCTTTGGCAACATGACTATTGCATTGTTAGAGCAAGTCACTATTTATTTGACTTACAAATATATCAGTTAGCACTCACTTAAGTTCAGAGGCGGCAAGAACTATCAGTCATGTTAAGTTGCCGATCATGGATGCACAACGCTTTGATACACATCTACACTTGTCTAGTTCAGGACACACATTCAAACACCTACGATGACACAGAAACCTAGAGACACACTAGCTTTCTATCCCTAGACTCTACAATGTTTCCGTTCGTAATCCCCTCTGAGTCTATTAATATTTCTGTTTCCATGGCGATTTGAGCCTTGCCAAATATTGTAGAGATAAGAGGAGATAAGAGCATAAGGAGCAGGGAGATAAGAGCAAGTGACCTGCAGAGATCAGAGCACTAGAGGTCAGGCAGAAGAGCAGAAGTAAGTCACTGAGAAATGGACCTTCCGTGCTCAACTCCACTGCCAACCTGATGGAAAAACAAAATATAAAGGGCCATCTAACTTTTCTAGTAGTGCAACACTTGAACACATACCTGGAGTTAATCATTTTTGCAGCAACTTTCTTTGTATATCCAATTTCACCCTCCAGAGAAGTTACATGAGAGCAAAACAAATAGTAAGACAGCATGTCACTGCAGTTAATGTTAAGAGAAATAATTGATACTATATTCTATCTATAAGTGTAATACAAAAAAATTTAAATATAATTGCATTATTCCCAAAGCATATTACGTTCATCCATGTGACCATAGATAAAAAAAATTTTTTTAAAGGGAATACCAATTCCAATTTCATTTTATACAAGTCAGATGATGTTCAAATGGGAGTAGACAATTTGTCCCTCTTTAATCTGTCATCTCTCACATTGTGTTTTGTAGAGAATGAAATTATGAATAAGAATTAAGTGACATTATCAAATCTGTGATACATTTTAAGTATTACTTACATTTTTACAATCTTGACTAATTGCAGAACGGTAGAAAAAGAGATTCAAATTATACAAAAGTGATATCATGTTATTGTATTGTAAGTAGATCATGGTATGTTACTCTAGCTGACAAGATAGTCCTACATGAGGGTTGTTCATCCAATATGATATTTTAAAACTGTTGCACACAATAAGAATGATTTGAGTTCTATAACTGAATTACCCTTCTTCAACACCCACAAACAATGTGACACCCACTCTTTTAACAGACAATCTAGACAGTAGTTGCATTATTTAAGGAATAACTTTACCTGTTTGTTGTTGTACTTCGGTTGGCTGGTCTTGTAGCTGTAATCTGAATACTGGTCTGAGCCGGTAGAGTTGTCATCTCCTCCCGTTCCTACAAAGGTGTTGGCGGCAGGAAGGTCCTGGACAGCCTGATGCTTCTGTGAGGCTGAGGGGGATTGGGCCTGCAGCTGGATGGAGGGTAAGGGGGAATTGGAGCGGTAGTGCCTGCCTATATCAGGGCTTCCTGGTGAATATGTTAAGGGCAGGTGTATCCTGGGGCTATCATTGACTCCATCAAGGTTGAACTTAAGGCTCTTTTGAAGGCTGACCTCCTCATCTTCCCCGAGTGGTTTTGGGGACTTCTGAGGTTTTCCTTTCCTTCCTCGTTTGCCTTTGGCATTCTTTGGCACCTGTTTTGGAGCGTATAAGTCTTTTGTTTCCTTCTTGCCAGCCTGATACCCACTCTTAGTCTCTCTCTGGATGCGGTGGCGAATAAAAACCACCACCAAGATCAACATGACAACACCTGCCACACCAGCAAGACTTCCAAACAAAATATTACTACGCTGTGCAGCAAAACCATTGTCAGGATCACCAGCAATGTCCCTGTCCAGTGGAGTGTAAAGACTGTGTCCAACTAGGGCCTCCACTAAGCTGACATTTGAAATGGTTTCATTGACATAGATGTGGACCAGGGCAGTGGCATGACGTGCAGGCTTCCCCCTGTCACTCACTCGCACCACTAGGCGATGTAGCCCACCGTGTTTCCGGGTCATCTCTTTTGCTAGAGTGATCTCCCCACTGGAGGGGGAGATGCGAAATAACTGGTAAGGATTTCCACCAGCAATACTGAAGACCAGCTCTGCATTAGGCCCACTATCCAGGTCTTCAGCTTCCACTACCTCAACATGGCTATCTGGGGAAGCTAGAGGTGACAGTCGTCTGAAGGAGGAATTGGAGGGCTTGGTGACAACAGGGTCATTGTCGTTTTCATCCAGTACGTTGATTGTAACTCCGACATATGAAGACCTGGGTGGCTCTCCTCCATCCACTGCTTTCAGACGGAAAGTGTAGCTGCTTTCTTTCTCCCTGTCAAATGAGATGCTTGAAAGAATGGTGCCAGTTCCATTTTGAACGACAAACTTCCCTCCATCAGGCTCTACGGAGAGGTGAACACGAGCGTTCTCGCCTTTGTCCACATCCAGGACTGTCACCATGCCAACTGGACTGAGGGGAGGCATGTTTTCCAAAACCGAAAAGCTGTAGCCACTAAGCATGAACTTGGGGTCATTGTCATTGCGGTCAAGGACTTTTATGACGACAGTTGCTGTTCCTTTATGTACAGGTGACCCTTTATCTGCTGCGGTGACCCGGAACTCATAACGTTCTTTATGCTCTCGGTCAAGTGGGCTTCGGGCTCTTACTTCACCCGTATTTGGGTCAATCTCAAACAGACCTTTGATGGATGAGTCTGCGACAATATTATAGAGAAGTTCTGCATTAGTGCCACTGTCAGCATCTGAAGCTGTAACATCCAAAACCTTCTCCCCTGGTTGGTTTTCTTCAGCAAAATCTACCTCAAACAAGGTTGGGGAGAATATTGGGGAGTTATCATTTACATCAGTCACCTGCACCTTCAAAGAGTTTGTACTAGAGAGTGCTGGATTTCCAGAATCCACAGCCACAATCTCTACTCTGTAATCCCTAACTCTTTCGTAGTCGAGAGGAGTGGTGGTCTGTAGGAAATACTTCCTCTTGTTGTCACTGGATGAGTCGCTGGCAGGGCGAAGCTGGAAGGGTACGTCTCCTGCAACCACACAAGTAACCACAGCATTCTCTCCCTCATCCTTGTCAGACACTTGGACTAGAGCAACGGCTGTTCCCACTGGCATGTCCTCTGAAATGTTAGCCACTCCTTCACTGTGTGTCACAAGGCCAATCCCACGAATCTCCACAGCAGGAGCATTGTCATTTTGGTCAGTCACCTCAATAGTTACAAATGTCTTAGAGCTTTTAGGTTGAGGACCCTTATCCCTCGCCACCACATAGAAGGACAAGCTGCTGATTTCCTCTCTGTCCAGTGGTCCTTTGACATAGATAATGCCAGTGGACCGATCAATTCGTAACAGTTTCGGCACTGGGTCTACTGCTTGGTGAAGGGTGTACTCAATTTCTCCATTAGGGCCCATGTCAGAGTCATTTGCTTTGACCTACAACAAAATAAATTCTGTGGTTATAGGCATGATTTATGTGCAACAGTTTTTTAGAATTAAAGGGGAGCCAGTGTAGGATTTTCTCTACTAATCATTGGTCAATGAATTAATTAATACATGAATAAACGGATGTCTGATCATTTCAAAGCGCAGCAAGTGAGCTTTATTTGGGCATATTTCATTATTGTGCCTCCTCTCTGCTTTTTATGTTCATGTCACTGGCCTTTTTTTCTCTTTTCCCCCTTTCTTTTATTGCAAAAAATGGAATAGAGAAAAGGTTCACATGAAAACATATGGCAAAATATTTGGGCTGCTGTTCCTTTCATGACAGTCAGTGCAATTTCACAGCGGTATGTAGACAAAATCCTACACAGTATCTTACTCCTACACTCCAACATTGTGTATTTCTAACTCTATTTCCTCAAGTATAATAGCACAACAAAAGCAATAAGCAGCTTAATTACCTGTACAAGCATAACATGCTAATGCTCTAATACTTCTAGTATTACTTAAAAATTCACATTAGAGTAATAAGAGTGAAACAACTTGCATATAATTAATTTTAAAAAACAAATATGATGAAGGTATGTGAACTGACAAGAACTAAATGTGGCCTTGGTTTCCCCAGAGTTTTTGATTAGAGGTCAAATTTCATTCAACGTTCAAAATTGTAAAGCTATTTCTAAATATTTTAAAGCACAACGCCAGAATAAAAATATTTATCTTTGATTCAGATTTATACATTAGGGCTGTAACTGAGAAATAAACACTGAAAAAATGAGACACAGAGACTAATTTTCAAAAACATCATGATAAATTGGCTGAGAATTGCTTGGTTTATTCATTGCTGAGGATAAAATTCAAAACATTACATCAAGCAGCACAAACAATTTTGTTTGCAATTTAACTCATTCAGACCTGATTTAAAAGAAAATTCTTAAAGTCTTAAAAGAAAGTATATTTGTATTACAATCTTACCTGTAACACAGAGTGACCCACTGGGCTGTTCTCTGACACTTCTGCCTCATACGTGGACTTTTCAAACTTGGGAGAGTTATCATTGGCGTCGGTGACTACCACTCTCAGCAAAGCACTGCTGTAGCGCTGAGGGTTGCCTCCATCCACTGCCTTGATGGTGAGGTCATAGGAATCCTTTAACTCACGATCCAGGTTGCCCAGGACAATGAGCTGTGGGAGCTTCCCGCCCCTGTCGTCAGCCACCTGTAAACCAAATAGGGTTGCGGCGTCTGGCCCTGCAGTCAGAGCATAATCCGCCACCCCATTCCTGTCTGAGTCCCTGTCTGTAGCTAGAGGTATGGAGAATAGTGCCCCCATGATGGTGTTCTCGGGGACCGAGATGGTGAGCACAGAAGATGGAAATTGTGGAGTGTTGTCATTGATGTCCTGTACCTCAATGCGTCCTTCAATCAGTCGTGGGCTCTGGTTTTGTATCAGATCTGTCACTGATACTTCAAATTCCAGGTAGCAGGGCTTACCCTTAGCCAGGGATCGACAGTCCCTTAGGGTCTCTCTGTCTATGGGAATCTCTGTGGTGAAAATGTCGCCCGTCTTTCCATCGACACGAAGGTAAGGGGCACCAACCTCCAGCTTGTAGAGATGACCCGAGTCTGGCAGGCCCTGGTCTGCTGCCAGGCTACCAATAAGAGTGTTGGGAGGCTGCTCCTCCTGGACCCGATACAGGATACTGCCTCCAGCAGAACCATAATGCAGCACCAGGACCCAAAACAGCAGTAACTGTAAATTCTGTTCCATTAGGTCATCAGAAGATCTGCCTGCAAAATGAAAAAGAGTAATGTGTCAAAACATTGTTTCTTTTTTGAAAACTTAAAGATGTAGCTATAAAACACCTGATAGCTGTACCAAGCTTCATAGGCAGTAATTATTTAACAGTAATTATAAACCAAAGTCACAGAACTCACATGAACAAGTCCTTAAGACAGTGATAGATTTAGTCAACAGGAAAAACTGTCTTCATTGTATTGTTCTATTATAACTCTACAGCTATAAAATTATTTTTGTCAAGAAATTGTACCAAAAAGTACCACAGGCCTAGAAGCATAATATAATAATTAGACACGAACAAAGGGAAAAGATGTATTTTTTTTTAAATGCAACCATAACTATATCCAAACATGGTTTATTTTTCTGTACTAGAGCGCCAATAGCTTCAGTGAATGCCTAAGCTTTACAAATTTAATGTAAAAATTAAAGTAGGAAGAAGAAATTATATCTTGTGAGCTTACACACAAAACAAACTTGAGGGCCTGTGTGGATTGTTTCAGCTGTATAATCAAATAAAAAATGTAATACCAAATCAGATTCAACACAGCCTAAGAGACTCATTATTTTAGTATTACACTAATAGACGTTGAATGGTGAAGCAATGTGGCTCAAAAGTAACCGACGGTATCAAACATGCTCTAAAAATAAATCTTTACAAACCTTCCAAGATATTGTCTATTGTCAAAGTTGAACTATTTGATCTAGCTCATTACCAGAGAGGCCTCTAGCAACAAGGATTTGCATGCTAAGGGTCACAGAGGCAATGGGGCCAATGAGGCCCGTTCAGATTATGCAACTTGGCCATTGTCATCACATGCAGCTTGCGACAATGCACAATGCAAAAATTGCCATCCACGCTCCATTGCTACTGGCTAGCTCAAACACTGTAATCATTATGTTTGATTTTGAACCTTTCAACTCTGTAATTATGACCCATTATTTTAGTGTCTTTTTTGATCTGTATTCCCTCTAGCTAAAGAATTCTAGCTTTTTTCATGCTACAATGATTTTAGACTATAATTATTTCCTGTGTGTGTGAGAGAGAGAGAGAAAGAGTGAGAAAGATAGAATGTATGTGTGTGTGTGTGTGAGTGTGTGTGTGTGGGTGTGCCTGTGTGTGTGTGTGTGTGTGTGTGTGTGTTTGTGTAGAGTTCTATTGAGCTGAAATGGGAGCAGACATTGAGGTTAAGTATCAAGGCCCAGTGCTCTGGAAAACTTAGTGATGGCAACATTTTACCAGTTTTGTGTGTTGTCTTATCCTGTAATGTTCAAATCTATGTGTGCTTTCAGTGCAGAATGTTGTGTACACAGTTTATTGTTTAGTGTTGCGTGTGATGTGCCAGTTCAATATATTGATTGATAATGACTCTGATACTAACCTTATTGATTGCATATTTGCCAGGCAAGACTAGCCTATATTAAATACTGTTTCTTAGTGACCATCTTAAAATAATTTGAACGAGCCTTCAAAAATGTTAGTGTGTAAGCATCACCACTTTTAGTTAAAAAGTTAAAGTTAAAACTTGAAGCATTATGTTACCTTAGACATAGAAGCCCTTAGCTACATCCTTAGTTACATCCTTAGTTTGTGCAGTTGACAGAAATATACATGAATATGAGCAAATAGTGTTAATCTGAGCTCAGATCAGTACATTCTGCATCTCCTCACATGAAACAATGTTCCAGAGAGGAGCAAAGCAAACTTGTATTAAGCTAGACAGCAAAACACAAATATACAGAAATCCAATGAGAAATCCAATTCCTTTTGAATACATTAAAATTGGAAGTGCAGGTTATTGATGCACTAATTGCTCGGTTATCGACGTGTCCCTTTTTACATTTGCAGGGGGAGCCTCTAGTCAATGTGGCGTGAAACAGTGAGTGTGCTTTCTGTGTGTTCATGTGTACAGGAAAAAGGGCAGGCAGGAGTAAAAACATAATCATCGGATACACTCCAGAATACATTTCTTCTACCTGCAACTGACAGTTAACATCAAAACACTGTCTCTTTTTTTCATATTGCCGACCCTGTCTGCATTAAACACAAGCTTTTAAAAGGGTATATGAAATACAGAAATCTGTTTTTATAATCTTTTAAAATTGATAAAATCATTATTTTGCGTTCTCATTTCAATAATGTGATCATATGATATGTCCTTTAGCCTATTTGACACAGTTTGCATCCTTTTTTCTTCTTCTCTTATTTAAAATATTCTCTGTTGAATTTAAGTTTCAGTTTCAGTTTAAAAATGAAAACCATAACGTTTTGTTTAGCTGAACCGTCCCCCTGCCATTACAGTCACTTCTATAATGAATATGGGTGCTTTGATAGTGACATGATTGTTATGGTTGATGACACTCATGACTTAATGTCTTCCAGTTGGCCTCATGCCTGTCTTACAGATGGAACTGTGCCTGGCAGCCACAACGAATTGGTGTTCTTTTTTCTTTGTTTACGTTTACATTAAAATTCATGTTGTTTGAGAAATACGCGTTTTGCAATCACTCAGTGAGAATCTCTTATCGCCTGAATATTATTGACACCATGCCTTTGGGTTTTTATCTCATATTTCTCAGCTATCTCACAAATATTTTATCAAAAGCCTGACAGCATCAGTGTTTTTCCCCTCATCTGAAAGCACTGTAAGGTAGTGGCGAATGGGGAACTTGTGCTTGAGCTTTTTCCCTACTGGACTACAGCATGTCTCACCAAAGTTCACTACCTGAGCAGCAAAATGGACAAATTAGAACTGCTGAACACAACTAGGAGTGACATTTTCTGCATCTCAGCACTTTTTCTCTGAAAAACTTGGTTATCATCTGCCATCCCAGATGGTGTGGTAGACCCACAAGACTACAAGCTGATTCAGGCAGATCGCGATACATAACTCAGCATAAAATCAAAGGGAGGAATAAGACGTTAGTTCTTCCACTGTGCTGAAATGTGTCTGTTATATTACAATCCTGGCCAACCACTCCAAAATCGTCTGCAAGGACTGAATTCTTTAATAAAAATGGCAACAAGTTGGGCAGATATTATAACTGAATCAAGGATTCCAACACTGAAATCTTCAGGAAGTGTGAGGCTGAGATCTTTTCTGCCTTTAAAACTCACCCTCTCAACACCAAAGAACTGTGGCAGCTCAGTGGCGGTTATGTGAGAAAATCATGGCAGACTTTTTTATTTGTGCGCTGACTACCCATAATAACTACAAAATCGCAGAGCTACTTTGTGGTAGCTATGCCAAAGGACAGCTTAGACCTGGCTAATGCTTAGGTGACCCCTACTGTACTACAAGTTGTATGAGTACAGTACACACTGAACTTCCTTTACACAGAGCTATTAGGGCTCTGTGTAGCCTAAAAGGCTCATACTGTAATTCCCTTCAGCGCTGTATGCTACAAAAAGCATCCTGCACGAATAGAAAAACCAACAAACAGACTGAGCCAGACACCTACATTATGGAGGTGCTTCTGAGCAACAAATATTCTGGAGAAATATCTTTCCAAATACAATCAAGGCATCCACTGTCTGACTGGGGAGAGAACTTTAACTCTACCAGTGAAGCAGCATTCAGCACAAAGCTTCATGCTGTGATCATGCAATGGTCCAGATGGTTCCAACATCGAGAAAAACTGAAGGCAGCCTGTACCACAGTATGGAGGTGGACCTTCAAAGCCAGTCTCAAACTGCCTGATGGGTCTGCTATTTGCTGTATCTCCTGTGAAGATGTTTAACTTTGCAACAAAGAATGCATTCAAGGCACAAACTGCTCAGCAATAGAGTTTAAGACCCAGAGGAACGTTGCAGAGTAGGTTTGCCACGCGGCTAGAATGCTGCCTGGCCAAAACCCAGCTTATTAAGACCATCAGGGGTGCCAAGTCTAAGTACAAGATGGGACTAGAGAGTCAGTGTTTCATGACTCATCCTCAGCATGGCCATCGCTCCACGGATTCAAAAGCTGCAGGAGGAGCTCATCCAAGCATACCCCTTCACCTGCCAATGACCTTTATAGATAACAGTGGCAGAGAGGAGGGAAAGTGGCTCTCACTCCTGCCCACTGTGTCGCCTGGGACTCTGTTGTCACTTATGTGGAAGTTTCACTGAAATGTAGAAGTGTTGTGATTGATATACATGAGTGTTATAAAAAAACCTGTTTACGACCAGGCACTGCTGTTAAAAAGAGACAAAACCAGCAAAATGTGCTTCCATAAGCTTCTGGATATTGTGTGAAATGTCAGTTCTGAAAATTGTCAAACACCTTGCACACCTTTCTCCACTACAAATACATAAATCCCTTAAAGAAGTGCATGGATAAATATTTTTTGTTTATATAACCTTATAGCCTTTTAATAATGAAAGAAAAGTGGATTTGTTTAGTTACAAAATACAAAATATGCAAAAGAGGACAAAGCAAAGATAAAGCATTCAACAATCAGAATATTGAAATAGCTGTAGCAGCTTCAAAAGGAAAAGAGAGAAGACTTGAATTTCACCAGTGGATGCAGAAATAAAGGGCTGTCTTTTCACATTTTAGCTCCTTTTCTCTTGCTTCTGATCTCTCCCTTACCTTGTGGATCTACCCATTTCCTCCAATGCCATTTTGAATGACAGTGAACTCCAGAATTCCTCCTAGCAACCTGCCTACAATCCTCTATCCATCCACCTCTCCCTAAAGGCTCAGTGCCCAGTGCCAGTGCTGCTGCTTTGCTCCTCACAGAGGACAAGGTGAAAGACTTCACTGGCAGCTAAACATCAGTCAAACAGCAAGGTCTGATTGAGTCTCACCTGGAGCCCTCACACAGTGCACCACCCAGCTAGCTGTACCCACCGTTAAAGAGAACATTTCAACTTCTACATGTCTACAACCACTGACCCTACCGGTGGCAAATTGTGCAGTTTGTCTCATTCTCAAGAGAGATGCAGTTTTCTGCTGTAATGAGGCCAAGGCTGCTGAACCAAGTCATAACAATGACCTCTGA